TTTTCTCAGCTTCTTTATTCTCCATCATTTGGTCTTCTATATCACTAATTCTCTCTTTTGCTTCATTTATCCTAGCAGTTAGAGCATCCATTTTTTATTGCATCTCATTAATAGCCTTTGTGATTTCAACTTGGTTAGATTTTAGTTCTTTTATTTCTCCACAAAGGGATTCTCTAGTGTCTTCTATGCTTTTTTCAAGCCCAGCTAGTATCTTTATAATCGTCATTCTGAACTCTGGTTCCTATATCTGACTTACATCCATATTGATTAGGTCCCTGGCAGTCAGTACTGCTTCTTGTTCTTTTTTGAGGCGAGTTTTTCTGTCTTGTCATTCTGTCCAGAGAACAACAGATGAATGAGAGAACAAAATAAAATGGCAACAACAACCCCAGAGAAATATACACTAAACAAATCAGGAGAGACCCGAAACCAGGAAAAAAAAATTAAAAAAAATATAATCAGACAGGTGAGCAGAATAGAGCAATATACTGGATTATGTATGTATTTTGGTCTGTTTTTTAGAAAACTAGATCCCAAAATTGTAAAGAAGAAAAACTTACATATGTACAAAAGTAAAATTAAATACAATGAAAGAATAGAATATAACTGTAAAAATTCAAATTAAAAAAAGACAAGTAAAAACAAAAGAGGAAAAAAATCCAAGAACAAAAGGGAAAGGATATAAACAAACAGGTGAACAGAACAGAGCAATACACTATGTCCTGAGTGGTTTTTGTCAATTTGTTAGAAGAAACTATATCTTAAAAGAGTAAAGAAAGAAAAATGTATATATACAAAAATAAAATTAAGTACATTGAAAGGATAGAATGTAACTGTAAAAATGAAAATTCAAAAAGACTTTAACAAAACAACAAAAGGAAGAAGAAAAACAAAAAAGAATATGATCAGACAGGTGAATAGGACAGAGTCATATAGTAGATTTTGGGTGTATTTTGGTCTGTTAGAAGAAAAGTGCATCTCAAAATTGTAAAGAAAGAAAAACATATATATATATACAAAAATCAGACTAAATACAATGAAGGGATAGACTATAACTGTAAAAATGAAAATTAAGATCAAAAAAAAGTTGATAAATCGGTTGAAAAGGAAAGAAAAAAAATTGAAAGACTAAAGAATCATAGGAAAAAAGCCATGAATTCTTTGTGGGTTGTTTTGTTTTTCTTATTTTATTTTATTATGTTAGTCACCATACATTACATCATGGTTTTTGATGTAGTGTTCCATGATTCATTGTTTGCATATAACACCCATTGCTCCATGCAATACGTGCCCTCTTTAATACCCATCACCAGGCTAACCCAACCCCCCAGCCCCCTCCCCTCTAAAACCCTGTTTGTTTCTCAGAGTCCATAGTCTCTCATGGTTCTCTCCTCCTCCGATTACCCCCCTTCATTTTTCCGTTCATACTTTTTTTTTTTTTTTTTAATATATTCTATGAGCTGTATTCCCCTAGCACTGGAGTTTTGCAGTTCTCTTTGATGGGTAACCTTGGTCTTGGCTGGATGTTCTTGCTGATCTTCTGGGGGAGGGGCCTGTTGCAGTGGTTCTCAAATGTCTTTGCCCAAGGCAGAATTGTACTGCCATTGCCTGTCCGGCCTAAGTAATCTGTTCTGGTTTGCTCTACGTGGCTTTTGTTACCTGAAAGCTTTCCACGCAGCGTTAGAGGACAAGAATGAAAATGGCGGCCTCCCCATCTCTGGCCCCGGAGGAGCCGAGAACTCGGGCGCCACTCCTCAGTGAGCCCGCAGAGAAAAGCAGTCGATCACTCCCGACTCCCCGGTCTCCAGCCGTACTCCGTGCTCACCCGGCCTGTGACCAAGCGTTTCTATCTCTGGCGCACGACCCCGTGTGGAGTCTCCAAACCCAGCAAATCCCTGCAGTGCGCTCCCTCACTGCTCCTCGCTGGGGAGGAAGGGGAGTCTCCCCGGATCTGCCGCTTGTTGGGTCCCTCCTGGAGGAGACTGACTGTGCCATGGATCACGGTTTATGGCAACCTGGAGCTGAGAGCCCACTCCTCAGCTCACTTTTGCAGCCGACTTCCCTGCCCCGATGGCCTGGGAGCTCTGCCACACTCAGGCACGCCCAGTCTTCTTGTGACCCCAAGGGTCCTGAGACCACACTGTCCCGGCTAACACTGCACCCTCACTTAGGCACCTGAGCAACATCCCTCACTGGAGCAGACCTCTGAAAGTTCCGATTTTGTGCTCTGCTGCTCTGTCACTTGCTGGTAGCTGGCTGACGGAGGCTCCCCACCCCCCACGATTAATCTTCCCATGTATCATCTGGGATTCACTTCTCCACACCTCCTACCTTGCAGAAAGTGGTCGCTTTTCTATTTGTAGAGTTATAGCTATTCTTTTCTTAGATCCCTATTTGAGTTCGCAGGTGTTCAGAATGATTTGATAGCTATCTAGCTGAATTCTTGAGACCAGATGAAATTAAGGTCTCCTACTCCTCCGCCATCTTGGACTCTTGCCCCCCATTTATATTTTCTTCTAAGAGTTTTATAGATTTATCTCTTACATTTTGGTTTTTGATCCATTTTGAGTTAATTTTTTTGTATTTGATATAAGGAAGTGTTCTAACTCTATTCTTTTGTATGCAGCTATCCAGTTGTCCCAGCACCATTTGTTGAAAAGACAGGGGTGCCTGGGTGGCTCAGTTGTTAAGCGTCTGCCTTTGGCTCAGGTCATGGTTCCGGGGTCCTGGGAACGAGTCCCACATTGGGCTCCCTCGCCCTCTCCCACTCCCCCTGCTTGTGTTCACTCTCTCACTGTTTCTGTCAAATAAATAAAATCTTAAAAAAAAAAGACAGTTATTTTTCCATTGAATTGTCTTGACATCCTTGATGAAAGTCAAGTAACGGGTGCCTCGGTGGCTCAGTCGTTAAGTGTCTGCCTTCTGCTCAGGTCATGATCCCAGGGTCCTGGGATTGAGCCCTGCATCAGGCTCCCTGCTTGTCCAGGAAGCCTGCTTCTCCCTCTCCTACTCCCCCTGCTTGTGTTCCCTCTCGCTGTGTCTCTCTCTGTCAAATAAATAAATAAAATCTTTTTAAAAAAAAGAAAGAAAGTCAAGTAACTATAAATGTAAGGATTTATTTCTAAACTCTCAATTCTATTCCATTGGACCACATGTCCATGCATTTATTTTTCTTTCATTCATTCTCCAAAGATTTATTGAGTGTCTTTTTATGGCAAGCATTGCTTGACATGTCCATGTTACTTGCTTTTGGGAACTAAACTGTCCCTCTTCGAAGCCCAAATCTTCTTCAGGAAACACATTCTAACAGGATCTTCCATCTCTTTTTCTTAATGAGATATGAAGTGATTTCCTTTCATAGCCACACCCATAGAGACAGTACTATCTCTGATTTGTACACAGTCTTTGGGCAAGTTGTTTCTCTGTTTTATAAATGTTCAGAAGTCTGAATGTGTTTTAGAAGGCTTGGAAGAATGAAAATTGGCCTAGGATAGTCCAGTGGATGTATTGAAGAAGAGGTTAGTTTTAGAGTGGAAGGAAGATCTGCAGCCATGATGAGGGCTCCTGGCAGGTATGGAATGGCCCACACGCAACCTGAAATGTCCAGGAAGTTGGTAAGTGTAGTTGCTGCTAGTAGTAAGGCCAGTGAGAAATGGCAAAGAGGTGAGGATGGAGGAGCTGCTAGATTGGGTACCCATAATTCTGCTTCCAGATTTTACTTTAGTAGCAGTTCCTTACCAGTATAAAGTTACAATGAGAAAATGAGGCTTACAGATAATGGCTTATTGCTGGGTTTAAGATGACCTAATGGAGGCAAGAGTTTTTTGTAATGGCGGTGGCTGGTTTCTCCATAGGGGTTGTGATTGTAGGAATTGAAAGGAGAAGCCAAAGAAATTTAAACTTAGAACTTAATGGTTATCTAAAATAACTAATGATTCCAGTGTTCTAACTTCAGGACATTGGAAGGATAATTATACCAATGTTTACTGTAATGAACAAGGTGAGAATGATTTATAAAGATAATAAACTTTGATTTTTGTATGCTTATTGGCAAACTATTCAAGTGAATTTTAAAAGATAATTTAACCATTAGATAATACATCAATATACAGTATAGGTAGTACATATGATATGCAGGAGTTGCTAATGTTCATTAGATACAAATACAGTTGATTTCCCTCTTATAGGTGCCTATTCATTTTTGAAACCCATACTATAAAATGACCTTTCAGCGTCTAATTTTAGTGGTTAAGCGATGGTTTTGTTTTCTCTATATGATAAATATAAAATATATTGCACTTGGCCAGTGATTTTGAAAGGTTTTATGAAAGGTACCTAGAGGGACACCTGGGAGGTTCAGTTGTTTAAGCGTCTGCCTTCGGCTCAGGTCATGATCTCAGGGTCCTGGGATCGAACCCCACATCGGGCTCCCTGCTCAGTGGGGAGCCTGCTTCTCCCTCTCCCTCTGCCCCTCCACCTGCTTGTGCGCTCTCTCTCAAATAAATAAAATCTTACAAAAAAAAGAAGGGTACCTAGATTCCATGATATACTGTTGGCATTAACAATATTATTGTTTTGGGGGGAAGCAATATTAGAGTTTTGGAGGGAAAAAGTTGGGGTCTGGGGGTTTTTTTTTTATTTTTTTTTAAGATTTTATTTATTTATTTGTCAGGAGAGAGCGCGTACAAGCAGGGGGAGCTGCAGGCAGAGGGAGAAGCCGGCTCCCCGATGAGCAGGGAGCCCGATGCGGGGCTCGATCCCAGGACCCTCGGATCATGACCTGAGCCAAAGGCAGACACTTAACTGATTGAGCCACCCAGGCATCCCTGGAGGAAAAAAGTTTTTAATATTGACTGTATTGAAAAACAGTTTGTATAAAGTTTCAGTTGCCCAAGATGGTTTCGTGTCTAAACAGTAAAATTGAATGGTTCAGAAAATGTATTACATGTTGAAACTTAGTACAATATACATTTATTTACCCACCCTAAAATTTCTTTCAGGAATCGTTCCATCTTCTGTTGTCCTGACTTCTTTCCAGGTGATGTCAAGAGTTTTTCTGATATGGGCAGTAACACATAGTGTCAAAGAGGTAAGTGTTTACATAGACTAAAATAAAGTAATGCCAGCAATGCTAGTCAATGCTAGTCAACTTTTCTGTCTCGTGTGTGTTATGGCTACAGTTGAAACTCTATGTCACATCAGTATAGCCCAAATAAAATGCATATTCGCTGTAGGAATTGGGTTACTAGTGGGAAACATACTCCAAATATGCACTGTTGTTAAAGAGAAGACTGGTTAAATGATAAAGTCCTGCAATCTTAGTTCCCATAGAGATTTGGATAATATGGATGTGGTCTGCAGTTACATTTTTGGGGTATCTTGTTTGTATTCAGCATACGAAACTGGACATCTGCATCCTTACAGTGGAACTGTTGGCGGAGTTGGGAATATTAATTCAGTCCAGAGCAGTTCTCTTTATAGGACGAGGAGAAACAAACTTGTTTCCACCCCACCCACCAGGATCAATGGAATTCCCAAATGTGCTGAGTCTAGTGGTTCTGGAAGGGAAGTACGCTGCAGGGGGGCCTGGGGCGATAGGTACCCAGGCAGGCCTGGTGATGCTGGGAGAAAGCCAGCATTACTGTCGGTATGAATCCACAGCTAAGCTTTCATTTTCTAGTATCGGAGAAGGGGATTATTTTCCTGTATGTTTTTTTGCTTTTTAAAAGTTTTATTTATTTCTTGTTAATGTCACCTTGAAATAGAGTACCTGTAGTCACCAAGAGGATTCATTTTTCAGTTTTTGGGTCCCAGTCACCAGCAGTATTGGAATCTTTGGGACTCATGAAATGTGCTTATCCATTAGCATTATTCTGGTGTTTTCTTTGTGTTCTATTCTTTCAAAACCACTGTCAAAACATTTTGTTTTTCAGGATTTATTTTGACAGTTTCATTTGTATTTCAACTAATGAGGTTTTTCTTTTTAACTTTTTATTGGCTTATGATATACATACAGAAAAATGCACGTGGCTAATGAGTTTTTAACCAAAGCTGATTAAGCTCATTTATTATTTTTGTTACATTCATACGAAATTTGCTGATCCAGAGGCTTTTTTTTAACCTCTCTCACTTCTCGAAGATATCTAACCTTTACACGTAAGAAGAATGTCAAAACAATCATTTACTTTTTAAAAATTTTACTTTAATTCCAGTGTAGTATAGTTAACATACAGTATTAGTTTCAAGTATACAATATAGTGATTCAACAATTCTATACATCACTCAGTGCTCATTGTGATAAGTATATTCTTAATCCCCTCCACCTCTTTCACCCATCCCTTCTCTGATAACCATCTGTTCTCTATGGTTAAGAATCTGTTTTTTTGGTTTGTCCCCTTTTTTCTTTGTTCGTTTAATCACATACTTTTTAAAAAGTGATCTCATTTCTTGGAAACAAGTTTGTTTCTCCTGGTCCTATAAAGAGGACTGCTCTGGACTGAAGTAATATTCCCAACTCCCCCAACAGTTCCATTGTTTTAACCAACAACTCATTAACTTCCTGATAGTCTCAAGTGACCTAAATTTTTTTTCTGATAGTAACTCATCCATATTGTTAAATAGGTAATTATATACTTTCAGTAATTAGATGTTAGGTACGTGAAGACAGGGTATTGTCAACTACAGGGTGTGTAATCTCTTTGCCTAAACAATCAGATATTAATTGTCCAGGTGCTATTGCTCTGACTGATAGATTATTTATGGCCTCTGCTTTTTCCTCCTCTCTTCTGCCTTAGTGATCACTCTCCTCCTTTTCTCCTTGTTAGCTTTCTGGCAAAGGGGGTAACAGGTAAATCTAAAATGCTTATAATTCACGTCGAGCAGTTCTGTTTGCCATATTACTGTTAGCAACATTTGCCAGGATTTCCTGGGTGATCATTAAGACTGCTTGGTTTAAAAACTATTAACTATGTGGATTACAGACAGGTACATGGACCTGGCCATTGTCCTCAGTAACCATACTACCTGGCAGATGCATAGATTTAACCATTTCAGACGGTTCATATATAGTGTCATATTTGAGCTCTGCAGTAAGTTGTACACTTGTTACATTTGCATATTCAAAATTGTTTCTCTGCAACCAAACTTACCCAGTTTCCACTATCATTGACATATTATTTTCTTAAGAATGTGGTGCAATTGTGTTGTCTTTCTGCCGCCTCTTGGGTCCTCTTCTTTTCACATACACACTATTAATTAGTTGACTTGCTCCTTTCTCACGTAATTAGGATTCAGTGTTTCTGCTGTTCAGGGATCATAGTTCTTTTCTCCTAGTTCCCCTTTTCTTTGAATAAAACTCTTTCATTATTTTGTGTACATAGTAAGATCCCCTCCCGGCACACCCCAGGTCATCAATAGCTAACTTTTTTTTTTTTTAAGATTGTATTTATTGGGGCGCCTGGGTGGCTCCGTCATTAGGCGTCTGCCTTCGGCTCAGGTCATGATCCCGGGGTCCTGGGATCGAGCCCCGCATCGGGCTCCCTGCTCTGCAGGAAGCCTGCTTCTCCCTCTTCCACTCCCCCTGCTTGTGTTCCTTGCTTGTGTTCCCTCTCTCCCTGTGTCTCTCTCTGTCGAATAAATAAATAAAATCTCACAGGGAGAGAGGGAACACAAGCAGGGGGAGTGGGAGAGGGAGAAACAGGCTTCCTGCTGAGCAGGGAGCCCGATGCGGGGCTCGATCCCAGGACCCCGGGATCATGACCTGAGCCGAAGGCAGACGCCTAATGACGGAGCCACCCAGGCACCCCAATCAATAGCTAACTTGAAGAGCCTGTTGCTGTGGCATTTCAGAGACCAGTCTTGCTGTCTGTCACCTGTTCCTCAGCCCATGCTCTTGGCCAGATGCTATTTTTCCTGCCGTAGAGTCTCATGTTAGCTGTAATTCACTTTGTTCTCTACAACATTACTTACAGCTTCGCTGCTAAACTGCCATCCTTCTTCCTGAAATATCATTAAAACATCCTTATTTCCCTTATATTCAACTCTGTTTACTTTAATTGTGGGAACCACGTAACTAACACATAAAGAAATTGATGTCAGAAATAACTGCTTAATATATCTCACTTTCTCATAGTAATGTTCAAATTCTTTTCATACTACTCTACTTTCATTCTCAGTTTCTTTTTACATCCTATTCCCCTCTGATGTGGACAAGAATTCTTCACGTTCATAGCATCATGTTTGGATTTGGACTCTTGCTACCCCCTCTCTCTGGCCTTCTCACATTCTCCATGCTCATTCCCCTTGTTTTTCTGTAATTGTACATGGTGTGCTAAGGTTGGGCTTATACCTTTTAAGACTAGATACTACTTTTTTTATATGTGAGGTATGTTTCCTTTTAAGAGACCTTATAGGCCTCTTGTGCATCTCACTTGTCATTTTAATTCTCTACCTATGGAATGCTGGTCACATAAATGTTGCCATGTACATCAAAGAACCAGAAGGTGACAAGACAGTTTTCTATTATGATATAAAAGGACTCACCCATCAGTTAGTTTGACATCTTGATTGGTAGGTTATTAAAGAAATAATTGTGGCCTCTTTGTTGAAAAGCTTTTCCTTAACTAAGCATAGCAAATAACCTTCGCACTTTTTTCCTTCTAAAGAGAGCACCTATATGAGCGTAGTAAAGCTTCTGACAAAAATGACAAGCTCAGGGTGGGAGGTAGGGTGTGGGAATCAGCAATTCTAGCTGACCTCTTTCCTTTCCAGTTTTTCCACCTGTCTTCCAGGCTTGAACTGGCTCCTTCTCCATCTCTTAGCCAGGCTGGCCATGCTGCTGCCACATCAGACCGCTATGGGCTTTTTTCTCCTCACACTCTGTTTGAGTCTGTCCTTTGTCTCCTCATTGAGCTGAAACAAGACTGGCTTTTTCCAAGGTGAACTGCAGTGGAAAATGCCACTTTCTATCCCTCACTATAACCCCCCCTTCAAAAACACAGGAGTTCGTAGGGCAGATATTCTTCCTTTGTCCAAAAGTAGCTAAGCCGATCCCCAGATTCATAGATATTCAAATGAGCCACTGTCCCTTTCCTGGCCCAACCCTCTTAGAAGAACCCACCCAAATCCTCGTCACAGTTCTCAATGGAAGATCACTGTGTTCTGAGCAGAAGTCCCTGGTCACCAACATGGGCAGTAGTTGAGAGAGAAGTTGCTGGACTCTCACTGTGACTTTAGCCCAAGTGCAATGAATACCCTGTACAGTCTCCTAGTGACAGTTTGTATAAAATAAAGCTGTACCCTGGAATGCTGAGCCTTCTCTCCTATCTTCCTCAACCTCTGCCACCAGTGGAGAAAGGGATGTTTTCCTGCATTAGTTCTCCTGATTCTACCAGCCCGCCGTTTCCCACCTCTTTTTGGCATGCTGCTGGGCTTTGTGACACTTAATCTGTCATTCTTGTCAACTTCTCAGCGAGATGCTTACAAAAAGCTTGCAGTCACTGTTTAAGAAAGTAACCTCCAGTTTCTTTATCATTATACTGATCTTTGATGCAATACAGTTTACAGAAGACTTTATTAAAGATATATTGTGGTCATTCACTCTTGACAACTGTCCCTTGAGGTAGGTTCTAGCCTCCAATTAGAGTTCGGAAGCTAGAGAAATCAAAGTGACTGTCACACATCCAAATAAGCAGAGTTGGGAATGGACTTCTGATTCCAAACTCTTCCCTCTGTATCAGAGCTTCCCTCTCACCATTTAAATTGTGGGATGAACACAACCTTATTTTTGTGTGCTGACCGGGCTTTCTCTATCCCATACGGAATGGAAAGCCCCCGTCTCAGACCGAAGAACACATGCCTCGAAAGCAGTTCTGTCATGCCACATGCTTGCTGAGGTAGGATTCTCAGTCAGATCGGTCATCTATCTATGTGAAACGCCCACACGAGCTGTGGGCTCGGTGCGCTCGTCTGTGGCACGTTGCCCACTTGCTCCTCTCTTGGTCCGGTGTCCCAGTGGCTCTGTGATGAGTCCGTCCAGTTGACTAGCCTTTCTCCTTGAACGTTCCAAGACCGTTTAACTGTTGGGGCTTA